AAATTAAAAAATCAAACTAAAATAATTAAAAATAAAAAAGTATCATTTTGAGTATAAATGATTTTAATAAATGATACTAATCACTCTTGGACATGATTGGGAAGTACGCTGAGACAAGTAGGCCAAAAATCTAGACGCCCATTTATCAAAAGAAAGAAAAATCAAGCTAGATTTCACGTGCAGAACAGAAGTAAAGGCGTAAAGCATTTTGTTTTGACTTGAGCCAATCTTTTACGGAGTAAGAAGACAAAAAAAGTTGGGTCTTACAAACTGAATTCCGGTGTCATTAAGGATTCCAACTCCGGCCGAAGCAAAGTTAGCGCCAACGAACAATTTTTCTCCGATGAGGTAAGAGCTCAAGTATGGCAGTGTGTGCTCCGACCCAATTTTCTCACCTGAAGCAGACACCATACAGTGAGAACTTAAATAAGTTATTTAGTGTAATTGGTAGAGAGAAGAAAACAAAACAAAATGCAAAACCCACTTATAATGTCAGGGAGGTTAAGGCCGTTAGAAAAGCGACCGGTTGGCTTGTGAGTCGGATAGTCAATGCCATAAGGGGGAGAATCTGCCCTGGCTGGAGTGGCTAAGTAGTTGTTATTGCCGCTGTCGACGAGGGAGTCGCCGAAGTCAAAGAAAGCAGGAGCAGCCTCAGCTGGTAGTGGTGGAAGGACGGCGCCCATTATTGCCATCATGGCAACGATAAAGGCGGTGATCAAAACATCCAATGAAGTTGACATTTTTAGGAACCCCTAACTATCTGTTTTGAACTAGACAGTAACAAGGGATATGGTTTTATATGGTGTTATATGGGATCCCTCAAAGCCTCTTAATTGGTGGCATTAACCATGGAATAATAAACACACACAAATTGGCACTTACTTTCATGTTTAAAAAAGGTTAAGAAGTTTCCTCTGCCTGTTGGATATGGAATTATGGATTATGGGCAATGGTTATTGCCTCGCTATAAAATTGTACGTCACACAAATTACCGAATATTATTTTTAAAAATATTAATTTTATTTAGTTTTATTGTTAAAATAATTAATAATTATAATTATTAATTAATATTTGATAAAAATAACTAATATCTAATATTATATTACTTAATAAATTAAAATCAATTTATAAATTATTATTTTTAAATACTACCACAATCATTTGTTTAATGAAAAATATTATGATCTGTGTCACCTTAATAGGGAAATGATTTTTCTACAATATTTTTTTTTATTTTACTTTTTTGTATAATCTTATGTGTCATTTAAATAATTGATTTTTTTAATTTATGTGCAATCCGTGATATTAAATACGTTCACTCATTAAATAATTTGTGAAAGTAATATAAAAAAGTTGTATAAAAAAATTATCTCTATAGCACCAACCCACCTTAATATTATCTTATGTGGAAATAACCACGTCTAAGGATATAGTCGTTATCTTCTAACAAGATGACATTCTATTTGTTGTAATTTTGAACCGTTTATTTTGGACAGCTTTGAGCTTGCAGCAATACATGCTAATCCAGGAGCCAATTACCATTTTGTCCTCCGTCCACCTTTTCAGTTTGGGAAAGCAATTTAAATTCATTTGAACCCTCGTGCTCTATATTCTAATCTTGTAGCTGTTACTTTGAGAGGGGCCTTGTAGGGAAGGTGTTTTTCATCCTTATAAACCAGAATTGTAATTATAGAAAATCTTCAAGTCTTCTTTGGGTCAATCTTCCAAGTAGATTGACATGTAAATCCTCGAGGTTGGACTTTGGGATTTGGGATAGACACTTTGTTATTTAAGTCAATAATACTCTAGTCCACTCAAAAATAAAGTAAGAAGAAAACTTTAGGTTAGTCCCAAGTACTTGTAGCAAATGACTCTTGGGGGGTATTTATAAACCTTAAGAAGGTATTCATGTGGTTTTCTTGGCAAAATAATTGGGATATGATGTAGCTAATAGAGCGAACATCTCATAAATAGAAATTAGCTATGTATGGTCTTATTGTACTTATCGTGCAACTAGAAAAAAGGATGACTTTGACTTCAGCCAACAAGTCGTTTGACCTTGGCCATATCTAGCTCGAGGCAATGGCTGATCTTAACAAACTATCTTAGGGTGTCCGAGGTCCTTGACCCCAAACCTACACTTCCAATAACAATCTTTGTTTTCCATTCAATGTTAGATTTTATTTACCTCACCTCATCTAGGGTAGATCATTATGCTAGAAATCTTTGTTGATGTGGTTGTATTCCTACAATATTTATTTGGAGTTTTTTGCTTTGCTAGAAGTTTGTTTTGGGCTTTAATATAACGCCTTCAACTAATGTATGGGGTACACTTTGTATTATGAAGTTAATAATATATTGCTTTACCTTCCAAAAAACTTATGCTAAAACTAAAGGGTTTATGAGAAATTTTACTCATTTTATTGGTGGAACTAATTCAATCGGTCCTAGCCTTCACTACAAGAATGCAACCTCCTTTGCGTCAAACAATATAGGACATAGATAGAAAGAAAATTGACACAAATAAAAAAAAACGTGTAAGTAGACGTTAATTTTGACGTTGAAAAACATGACACAAATGTATCTACATCAACAGAAAATAGGTGGACACTAATATTCAAAACAATTGCATAAGTTCAAGTTGATGCATGTGTTGACACAAATAAATGTGTGGTAGTTAATTGCGTCAAAACAAGAGTCAACCTCAATGTTGAGACTAATACTTGGTCAAATTTTAGAAATAAAAAAATTCAAATTTTTACTATTAAGTTTTAATAATTAATAATAATAATATAATAATAATTTATGTGCTATTATTATTGAAACTTAATAATAATATGGTAGCATTTATATGATATGTAATTGCATTTATGTCTTATTGAAGTTCAATAATAAAAACTTGATTTTTAATTAATAATTAATATAGATTAATAACAATATTGATAATTTTATACAAAAATTAGTTATTAATTACACAAATCAAGATATTTATATAAAATATAAATGAGACAAACGAAAACAAAGTTAAAATGATATCTATTCATCCACCTGCCAAAATAATAATAATAATAATAATAATAATGAAGAAGAAGAAGAAGTATTTAGAAAATTAACAAAAAAAAATGAAAAACATCTTAAAATCGCATAAAGAAACTCTTAAAAATCAGAGTATAATCACATACCATATATTGTGTTAATACATCTCCCCTACAAGAACACAAAAAAGAAAAATAAAAATCATATTTCAAATTAACCATCATCTAATATAATACAATTAACTAATGGCATGCCAACAACTTAAGTAGCCAGTGGTAATCTCCTTCCACTAAAAGTAAGAGGTTTTGAGTTTGAGTTGAATAAGATGCAAGTGGGGTGGGGTAAAGGGACGAGAGAGGATAGCCTCTAATTGTACAACTAAGATAAAAAAAATAATTAACTAATAGCATAAAGATGGAAAGAATGGCACAAAGTCATATAACTTATATGAGAAATTCTTGCAATATATAAACCTACCAACAAGAATGAAAAAATTAATTTAAATACAAATTAAAACTCTTAAATGGTAGAATTATACAAAATATTATAAAAATTTTATAATAAAATAGAAGAATTTTAGGATAGAGATTATATTATTGGATTGTGACTAAAATTTCATGAGAAGGAAATTGGCTTATGAAAGACAAGGACAGTAAGCAACTGAGAAAATGGAAAGAGATTAAAAATGGAGAGAAATGAATTTGTAGAAGAAGAAGAGAAATGACAGGAGATGTACCATTCCAACTATATATATAGAAACATTTGTATTAGTTAATATTATTTGCTTTAGCATTATTGACCTATAAAATAATTCGATCAAAAGATGGTGGGAAGACATGGCAGATTCAAAATTTTTTAAAATTTTGTGTATTAGTGTCAATTTGTTGACTTAAATACTTAGGAAAAATCCAGGACCTTAAATACTTAGGAAAAATCCAGGACCTTAAATACTTAGGAAAAATCCAGGATCGACTTCTATAAATTAAATTATAAAAACACCTCATAAAAGACTTATAAACATGCATATCAATATATCAATCATTTTATCAACATAACATGTTTCACCCAAAAAAATAAAAAACTAAATCTCATTTGCATATTAATCCTTGTACAAACACTTGATATAAAATGTAATTTTAAACTTGTTTCAATAAGTTTAAATTAATATCAGCATAGATAACATAATAAGTTCAATTGATATTTAAGTATTACTATGTTTGGAATCACGTAAAATACAATAAAAACAATGTAACAAATCCAAGAACAAGCCCAACATCCTCATTAACATGGGATCAACATAAAGTATCTATTCATCACCCACATCATCATCATCATCAAACTCAAAACAATTTGAATGGAGAAGTCTACCAAACCTATTGTCTTGCTGAGTTGCTAACAGAGTTCCTAACCTACCTAATGAAGTGTTAAGTTGTGTTTGACAAGGTGCAAAGAGGTCTAGAACATTTCCAATACCAAACTTGTGCAACAATGGCCACTGTTGAACCTATAAGTATGGCCAAACATGTCAACATATTTTTGTGAATGTAGTGTAATAAGGTTAGTGGATGTAGCAAGATAGGTATTGTATATATAATCTAGTAGGGCTGGTTGAATAATATAATATACTCATTCTAGTTAACCTATATGCCATGCTATATATAAAGCTAGAGTAGAGTAATGTTGAAACAAATCTTTTGATGATTGGGTTGTAACTATTGCAGGTCGATATCCTCACATATGTCGAGGTCCCATGAATACATGTATGGGAGGGGCTATGTAGGAGGGGTTATATAATGGTAATTTCCAAGCATTTCTTTAGGTGGTTCCTAAATTGCACGCTAAATCACACCTTTTTGTCTTTTCACTTTTACTTTTTGAACATATTTAGTTCTTCAAGTATTTTTTGCATTTTTTTGGCCCTTTAGCTATAAAAAATGCTTTTTTTTTTTTTTTTGTCTTTAGTTAGTTAAGTTTATCCACATATGCATATTTTTTTGTCTTTGAACTTATAGTTTAGGAACTAAAAATATGTATATATTAAAAGTTTAGGAAGTAAAAATATGCATATTTAGATAAACTTAACGAACTAACTTACAGAAGGATAAAAAAAGTGCAAAAAATAGTTGAGGGACTAAAAATGTTTAAAATTAAAAGTTTTGAGACTAAAATTAACATTTAGCCTAAAATTTTGATAGGGCAAACTATTCCTTCATGGAGTTTTAATGTACTTGAATTTTAAATCTAAAAGAAAAAGTGACAGAGAAAGTTAGATTTAAAATAGACAACATATAAATTTGGTAAAAAAAAATTAAAACTTTTTAAAAGAATTAAATTTTTTTTAAAAAAATTTCCTTACCCTTTGGTCCCTTTTGTGGGGACTAGTTACTTGAATCTTAAATCTAAAAGGAAAAAAAAAAGATATGGGAAGTTAGATCTAGTGCATATAACATACATATTTGATAAAAAAAATTTAAAAACTTAAAAAAAAATGATATTCTCATTCTTTTGTCTCTTTTTTAAGGACTGAATTTCGGTGGATGTTGTTGGAATGGGAGATCAGTAGTTGTCCTTTATTTGGTTTCATGAAAAAGAATGGAGGAGTAAATGAAATATTTCAAAAAAAAATATATATATATATATATATAAATTAGATATGTTTTGAAGATAAAATAACTTATTTGGGTCAACAATAGTTATTAGTGTCAATATAAATGAACTATTCACCTCAATCGAC